CTTTGATGGCTACAACTGCAGAAGGACTTGCTGCGGCCCATCCACAAGATCATTGAATTCTGCGCTGATCTTCAGCCATTCCAGAATATCATAAACATGAAAAATACAGAAACATGTTAAAACAACACTGTAAAATAATAAAAATAAATATATAAATAAATCTTTACAGAGAAAGTCAAATGTCATGACAAGTACGTTTCAATTACCAAAGCCATACTTTACAATCCAGATGAGGCTTTTAAATTACATAACACATGAAATTAGAACAAAAAAAGCTAATTTAACATATTTGTGTCTATCCTTATTGCAGGGCTGTTTATAGAAGATAAAAGCTATTATTACTGCTATTCAAAAACCTATAGTTGTAACTTAAAAAAAAATAATTGAAACAACTAAACTGTGAAATAATTTTTACAGTGTTTATGCATGATTTGTTTTTGTTTTTTCTTTGAAACACATAGAAGATATTTTGGTATGTTTCTGATATGTTGATAACCATATGTTTCAGGTTCCATCGACTTCCTTAGTATTTTTTTTTTTCTTTGTCCATACTATGGAATTTGATGCGGCCAAAATTCTTGAAAATATCTTCTATGTTCCACAGAAGAAAGAAATGCATACAGGTTTGGAATGACATGAAGGTGAGTAACTGATGATACAATTTTCCTTTTTGAGGGGACAGTCCCTCAACATATTAGACTGTTGTGGAAACTCACAAGCAAACTGCACATGCACATTCACAGTAATCCTTTATCAGAACAAGGTAGTGTTTGTGAATATGGCATAACCCTGGTTAAATTAAGACAGACAGTTTCTATGGTGGAGCCCTAGAGAGCAGCTTTGGCATTAAAGTCTAATTAAATATATATATTTTTTTTTTTTTTTACTGCGCTTCTCAACTGATGATACAATTTTCCTTTTTGAGGGGACAGTCCCTCAACATATTAGACTGTTGTGGAAACTCACAAGCAAACTGCACATGCACATTCACAGTAATCCTTTATCAGAACAAGGTAGTGTTTGTGAATATGGCATAACCCTGGTTAAATTAAGACAGACAGTTTCTATGGTGGAGCCCTAGAGAGCAGCTTTGGCATTAAAGTCTAATTAAATATATATATATATTTTTTTTTTTACTGCGCTTCTCGAGGTGAAGCTATTGCACCTCGTCGCCCATGGTGACCAGACCAGAATGAGAATGTTTCGTTTCTGTTAGCGATGCTACCATGCCGACGGCAAAGAGACCCGGCGGGCCCTTGCTGTGTCCCCTTCATTACATCAGCAGCACAGCTCTGCCTCGTATCAACACTGTGATTAAAATGTTACTGGTGATAAGAGGATATGAAGGTCAAGCTACAAGGAGTGCAGCGTGGAATCTGAGAACTCCACCTGAACAGAAAAATGAGGCCTCATCAGAATGCCATGCATGCCTTTTACTCCTTGCAGCTCGATGGCTTTGTTTTGTTCAGTCACTGGACCAACCTTGTTAGTTCAGGCTTGTGAGCCATTCATTGCAATGCATAGTTCTTACTAAACAAGTACCTCATTGCTTGAATTGTTGCATGTCACTGTAAAACACCCTGTTTTATGGTTTTTACTCTTGTGTAGTTTTAATATGTCTCAGAAGTCTATTACTCGCTGTTTATATGCGGTTTAATGACCCACTATAATATCAGTGACTAATTTGCATCATATGTCATTATTTGGTGGGAGATTTTATGTGTGCAAGCTTGCTGACATTTCACAGATTCATGCTTGGCTGACAGGTGCCAGTTTTAAAGAGGATGTCCTAGAATCTTGAGATTTGACATGCCCTTCTGTTAAATTAAATAATAATAAAAAAAACTATAGATAATGAGATGCAAATCAGGGTGTCTGGAGAATAATGCCCTCTCATTTATTCTGCCTGTGTATACTAGTGCTGTGTTCAAAATATCGATATGACGATGTATTGTCACAGAGATTTGACGATACGAATATCGATACAGCTGGCCCTGTATCGATATTGTGGCACGTGTGCAGCAGTGGACCACGCTTAATTTGTTTAAAATTTTACAACGTTTAAAATCGAATAGAAAAGTGCGAGGTTTCTAAAAAAGAATGAATAGAGCATATATAGGCTACAACAAGGTGTAATCTGGCCGCAGAGCAACACAACTGTGTTGCCTGATATAAAGTGACGTAATCTCCGAAACAGAGATTCACACTTGTGCAATACGGAAATATCTGCTAAATGTGCTACTTATCTTTGTCAACCTGGCAACCATGTGCACACTCGCTCTCTCTCCACTGAGGATAAACGCGCTTGCTTTCTGAAAACACCGGTTAGCTTGCAGTTTAGTGATCTCCACTTCAATAATCTATTCTCAGAAAAGTGTAATTTTCGAGTGTTCATTTACGACACAGAGAGAGAGAGACTGTGTATGTATGAATTATCACCGTTTTGACGCGTTTCTCTATTAACAGTAAAGCTGTGGCTTTAATTCCTTTAGAAACAATGATGTTACCAGCTGCTTGTTGAGAAAGATAATGTAGCTCTTGAGCGATTAAGCTATTTAGTTGATAAAACTGCGGGGCAGCGCTAAAAAGTTCGTTCCTGAATGTCTGAGTTTGGCCGCAGCATGATCTGTGTGTGTGACTGAACTTAACATCAAACTGCTTCTGTTTCACACAAATGCCGGCACAGACGTGCATGTTCGGCTAGAGTCGCTTTGAACTCGTGCATCTTCGGAAGCGGAGCTGCGCGGAAAGTTATGCCGCGCGCACCTAAGCGAACTTGC